CCCCTAGTCACGTGGTGGCTTGGCACTGAGTAGTCAGGTTTTCAGGATCGTACCCATTGCTCTTCACCTACCACCAGAAGGGCCCCTGAAAACCCCCCAGTGGTTGCTGAATGTCCAGCACAACCTCTAGAGAAGCTCCCAGCAAGAAGAGGAGTAAGGTAGCTTTGGATCAGGTTCAAGAGTGGGGAGGCAGGTGAGGAGTCAGATTTTACCTGTGAGAAGCTGCCTAGGGCCAGCAGGACCAAGGAGGAGGACAAAGGCCAGGCTTGCATCCCTTGTCTGCCTTGTTGTATACCATGTTTTCTGTGGTTCAAAGGAAAGGGCTCCAGGGCTGACAGCCATGGTCTGAATCCCGTCCCCCCCCACTCACTCACCTTGAGAAGGTGAGCAATGCTGTCCACCTCAGGACTGGACTCAGTGCCTCATTTTCTTCATATGCACAACAAGGACAATGATGTCCACCTTGCAGTCAGAGTGAGATGTTATTTGACACTGCCATGGCCATGCCTGGTGCAAACCTTGGCACTGAGACATTCCTACTGGCACTAAGCAATTCCTATGACATCCTCCCATTTCCAGCCTACCCTGGAGAGTTCTGGGCAGCCAGTCTGAGTGTTTAGAATTCCAGGCCAGCACTGAAGCCTGGACTTCAAAGCTGTGCCCACACCATTCCGCAAAGAGCTCATTTCAAAGACCCGGATGAAGCAAGCAGGCAAGGGGTCATTTCAGGGTCAGGTAAAAGCCAAGGCAGCGGGGAGCATTTTTTTTTTTATGCTTATTTATTTAGTTGGTTTTAAAGGCAAGAGGGAACATATTAATAAGGAAGAGAAAGAAAACCCCTCTGGACTTATCTGGATTCCAGGGAAATTTCCCTAAGTGAGAAGCAAATATTTTCATGTCACCCTGGCATCCCAAAGGGCTCTGAGGAGAGAGTTTTCAGTGGAGTGGGAAAACGTCCGATTCCACAAAAGCGCCTTGGGCCCTGCGACTGATGCCTGAGGCTTTTGCACATTTCCTGCCCACACCATGTTCACGGGTCCTCAGCACCCCAGAGTTCTCAGAGGCCTCACAGCCCCCAGGGAGCAAAACAGAGAAGGGCGCTGCTGGACTTAGAGCTTCCAGCTTCCCAGGGGAGAGGATTCTCCCAACCCGGCAGACCTGGCAGAACCTGGGCAGGATTGTGCTATTTTTAAGATGTGAAAATAGAATTTTAGGGGCTTACTGGAGACCCAGTGTTAGGAAGGGGCTAGAACAGCATTTGAACCCAGGTCTGCCGGGCACCAACCCAGCTCCAGCCCGCTGCAGCGTTCCTCTCCCTTGCCCCTGGATGCACCTTCCCTCCCTGCCTCTCACCCTTCTTTCTTGAAGCCTGGGACCCTGCTGCTGCCTGGTCGAGGGAGAACTGAGGACTCTGGAGTGAGGCCAGCTCAGGTGCTCCATGGACTCAGTGCTGTGACTGTGATGTGGCATTTCTTGGGAATGTCACCTCCTGCTTGTGCTTCTGTGTCACCTATTGACTAGGCACAAGGTCCTTCCCTTGCAGGGCTGCTCCTAGGTCCACAGATGACTTGCCAGAGTGGGCTTTTTACCTCTTTCCCTGGCAAGGGCCTGAAAACTAGCAACTCAGACCATCAGGCCTGCAGCGATGTGGGAGGGAGGCAAGGAGGGCCTGGGATGCTTGGCAGAGGGGTGGCCCTTTTGGGGGAGGGAGAGGAACTTTGGGCTCTAGGTGAAGGGGAAGCTTAGGGGGCAGGGAGGCAGAGGGATTGGAAAGATTTGGAACCAAGAAAAAAAGGCAGACAAAGAAACTTTCAATCAGACTCAAAATCCTCACTGGCCGCCCAATGGTGCTTTTGTGCAGTGACATGAAAGGGTCTGGGGGCTTCGGGAAGGGCCCATGGGGGAGGGCGTGACTGGCCTTGAGTAATGAGCCTGGCCCCTCGGCACCTCTGTCTCCCTGACAGGCGTCCATGTCTTGAGCTGCAGAAACAATCCCCTGATTATCCCTGTGGTCCATGACCTCAGCCAGCCCTTCTACCACAGCCGGGCGGTACGTGTAAGCTTCAGTTCGCCCCTGGTTGCCATCTCGGGGGTGGCCCTCCGCTCCTTCGACAACTTTGACCCTGTCACCCTGAGCAGCTGCCAGAGAGGGGAGACCTACAGCCCCACCGAGCAGAGGTAAGAGACCCTGGACCTGCTCGCCCTGGGCCGTCTGTAGCCCAGTGGAGACAGTGCAGTGTGGAGGCTGGGCAGCCATTCGTATTGCTGTAAAAAGTCTGTGTGTTTCTTCCTTCTCTCTTCTCTGGTTGGCTTTGCCTTTGGGCTCGAGTGGCCCACAAAGTTCTGAATTTCTGGGGCTATGGAGGGAAGCAGGAATGTTGATGGAATGAGAAACTCCCTTACCTGGCTTGTAGCTGCAGAGTTGACAATAGCTGGCAGGGTGATCCTGGACACATCAGTTTCCTTCTCTGGGCCTCCAGGTGCTCATCTGAGCAAAGAGAGCTCAGACGGATTCACTTTCTTTCAGCTCTGAAATACTGGGATACTCTGCTTCCCAGGTGGTACAGGCAGGAGGCAAACCCCACCTACGTCAAGGGGAATCAAGTGAGCCTGGTATTTGCTTCATCCCAGTTCACTGTGTGTTAACTTCCTATGTCTTTTGCAAGCCTATACCCTGAGATCCCACCAGTGGTCTAGGAGCCTGTCTTTTAACTACATAACATCACTCCATCAATACTTTGGATCTGACACCTGTTGATGCACCCAGTTTGGAGTAGGGGGAGTGGGATGGGTGTTTCCTGAGAACAGCAGTCTCAGTTGGGTTTAAATCCCCAAGTGAACACTTCTTGAAGGTGTATCTCTGGACAAGTTGCTTCACTCTCCTGAGTCTCAGTTTTCTCTTTGGGAATAAGTGGATAATATCGTATTAATAAGGAAAATTTATAACCACTTCTAATGATGATGATGATGATGATGATACTGTGCATCCTTGCACAGAATTCTGTGTACAGTTCTTAAAGGTAGAGCTGGAAGAAGCCTCAGAGATTATGTCATATATCCAACGTGCCCACACTTAAGTGACACCATCTAGGATTCCAGACAGGGGAAGAACTAACTGGTCCAGAATTGCATAGCATCCCTTAAGTTTGTTTAATGGGATCCAGAATGAGAGAGAAAGGGGTGTCTTTTTAGTAGGCTCCTCTGGAGGCAGGCCCTCTGAAAGCAGATGCAGCCCTGTCCTGCATGGCTAGGGGCAGGGAAAAGATGTGGGGAGGACACCAGCCTTTGCCACACCTCCGCTCCACATGGTACACCAAAGGTGGTTGCAAAATCCACATTGTTTAGTGCCCACTGTCTGTAGCTTCTGTTGTGCAAAGTCTGTCTCAATCATTCAGAGCTCCTTATATGTATATCATGTTGTCATATTTCACTCTAAGGGGACTTTTTATCTTTTGCTCTTCAAACTCTATAAGAATAAGTTAATTTTTAGAACCCAAGGAAACAATGTCAGTGGACATCCATCAGACCTGGGCTTCCCCTTCCTTAAAGACCAGGCGTGCTGACCATCCACAAGTTGTCTGAGGCCAGTGGTGCTTTCTCTGAATTCTTAATTAACAGTTCCTGTGCCCTAAGAAAGAAGGGGTTAACCTCTGAAACAAATCAGCTGATACATATTTGTTGAATTCTTTGACTTATCAGAGGAGAAACATTGAACGAGGGCATTGAACTTTACACAGGATTCTGTGCAAGGAAGCACAGTATCATCACTGTCACCAGCATCATTAGAAGTGGTTACAAATATTCTTTATGACTACAATAGTATCCACTTATTCCAGAAGAGAAAACTGAGACTCAGGAGAGTGAAGCAACTTGTCCAAGGATACACCTTCAAGAAGTGTTCACTTGGGGATTTAAACCCAACTGAGACTGCTGTTCTCAGGAAACGTGCACCTGTCTCTGCCTCATGTGTGGCTGTGGATGAGTCATTCATTCCACCTCTCTGGACCTCAGTTTCACTATCAAATGATGAAGATAAATGTTGTGTTCTCTCTGGTTTTTTCTTGCCCCCAAATTCTAACAGTCTGTGATTCCCCAAAGCTGAGAAAGGTAGATGCATTATCTTATTTCATCATCACCCCTGTCTGGGAGGTGGGAGACGGCTCAGAGAAGCAGAGTGAGTCACTGACACACAGATATTAAGCAGCAAAATCCTGCTTTGTCTGTCTCTGAAAGCCATGCTCTATCCTGGAACAAGGCACATGGAGCAAAGGACTGTTGCATATGAGTATTTACTCAGTGAAATTCTGAATAATGGTTGAGATGCAGCCTGGGGTCTTTGGCTGACTTGCCCCTGAACTTAGACCAGGCTAGGACAGTCTGAGTCCCGAGGGCTGAGGCTACAGGGCATCAGCACCTTCCTCTGAATGCCCTGGCAGAGAGAAAGGACAGCAGCTATTCATGGCAGCTGGAGAGGCATTTACCGAAGCAGGCAGGACTCTGCAAACGTGCAAATGCATGGAAACAAACAAAGAGGAGAGAAAAGAAAAATAAGCAACCACTGTAAAAAGCCGTGGCATATTTGTCTTCATTCTCAAAACCCCAAGGTAAATAGCATCACTTTTTATAGCACAAATTTCAGCTGGTTGTAGTAGAAACATCCCACTTGACTCTCAGCTCTTCTCAGGTCGTGAAGGGTAATGTTCTCCCTTCCTCAGCCACCCGCACCCTGTCCTCCTGTCCCTCCACTTCTCCTTCTCCTCCACCTCCTGTCCCCCTCTCTCTTTCCCCTTTCCTTCTCTCCCTATTCCCTCCTCACTTGCTTTTCCTTATGCTGAGAGCAGTGTGATATCTCCTGCACAGCTAGATTCTAGTGCAGGTTCTGCCCTCAATTTGTGGTGTGACTTCAGGCAACTCCCTGTGGCAAAATCCATTCAGTTGACATGTTTTGACCTAGGCTCAAGGGTCTACAGTCGCTTTAAGGTACTTGGTATAAATTGAGAGACCCAAGGAAACAGGATCAGGTTTCAAATGAGAGTTTCAGTTGTGGCCATCTAGCCAAATCTCAGCTCCACACCAAGTTGGGGAAAGAGGATCGTGGAGGCCACAGTGGTGGTGATGGAGGGGCTTTTCAATGAGAAAAACTACAGTCGTGATTTTGAGGCTCCTGTGTCTCTGACGCAGACCCACAGACACACACTCACAGGTGTGCAAGCACATCTCATCCATGCACCCTTGTGGTTCAGAAATTGAACAGTTTGTTATAAAATTCAGTGAGCCATGTGTTTACATAATTAACTTCGGTTCTTCCTCCCTTTTTTCCTGAGTTCCTCTTTCCTTTATTCCTCTTGTCCCCTTTATTTTTCACAGTCTTTTCTCCCTCTACCTCCAGTTCTCCCTGGTCTTTAGAAGTAGACTACCTAGAGGAAGACAGGTCTGATAGGGCTAAATTTAGAAGGCCAGCTTTGAGGGGAAATTTTTTTTTTTTTTTTTTTTTTTTTGAGACAGAGCCTCAAGCTGTCCCCCTGGGCAGAGTGCCGTGGCATTACAGCTCACAGCAACCTCCAGCTCCTGGGCTCAAGCGAGTCTCCTGCCTCCGCCTCCCAAGTAGCTGGGACCACAGGCGCCCGCCACAACGCCCGGCTATTTTTTGGTTGCAGCCGTCATTGTTGTTTGGCGGGTCCAGGCTGGGGATTCGAACCCGCCACCTTAGGTGTACGTGGCTGGCGCCTTAGCCGGTTGAGCTATAGGCGTCGAGCCGAGGGGAAATTTTTTAATGTAGCGAGATTAATTCTTTCCCTCCAGGGTGGATTTATATGGTGGTTTGCAAGGGGGGCTCACAGCTGGGGTGGAAGGTGTGGTTCACGGGGAAGGCGGACAACCTGGAGCCAAGACTGTGCACGCTGCTAAGACCCATGAGCAGAATATCCCTGTAGACGACGATATAGGAATTTGTATATAGGATTTGGAATGAAGCTGCTCATGTCCAGAGGCCATGGATTGCTCAGATTGCTGCCCATAACCTCATATAACTTCTACATCCCACAAAGGGACCAGTGCCTCTTTACATATCAGCTGGAAATCAGTAGCGTCTGTGTTAAATACCTGAAAATAGACCTGGTGTGCCTAAGTGCATACATGTCTTTGCCTTTATTGGATACCACCTGACTCTGCTCCAAAATACTGTGCCACTCACACTCCCATCAGTGATCCACTAGAGTTCATTGCTCCCTATCCTTGCCAGCACTTGAGATTATCAAAGCCTACTTTTTCCCATTTCAAAAGGCTTGGAAATTATATACCTCTGCTGTTTTGTCCTCATAAAACCATGGTACCTGAACATTGGAAGGGCTCTCAAAGACTCCTTGGTTCTGCATCCTCATTTGAGGAAGGAAAGCCCAAGGTCCAGGCAAGGAAAGTGAGTTACTTGAAATCACCCAACAAATTGAGGGCAAAACCTGCCCTTGAATCTAGCTCTCAGGAGTCTGGCTCTCCTTCCTCTTTATCAGAGGTTCCAAGACAGTCCCCTAAGCCAAATTAAACCACAGGCAGTTTCTGTTTATTTGGTCCTCATTAGTTATCTTCTTTAATTGGTTGCCAACATTTGAATATCAGGAGAGCTCATATTAAAAACCAGAATTCTTATTGGAACTCTTTAACGAAATCAGAAGATTTGAAAACATCAGGCCCTTTGTCCCACTGGCCAGCCTTGGACTGGAGCCTGAGCCTTACTGCTGCTTGGGGTAGGCACCTACCTTCCTCCCCCAGGCACACTTCACCCAGCTGACCGTGACCTTCAGGATATCTGCCTTGCCCCTGACGTCCACTGAGTTTGCATCCCCTAATCTTTAGTCTTATCTCCATATCATGCCACAACACGCATTCCTAGAAGTCCAGGGTAGAAGAGCCTATAAGATCATTTCCCCAGTAGTCTCACTTCTCGGCAGGAAAACCAAGAAGTAACTCTGTTTCACTTTAAGTAGTCCCGCTGAGTTGATGCCAAGAACAACTTTCCCTTTAGTTTTCAGTGAACACCCTGTCTTTTTTGTTGTTCCCATCTGAGCAACCCAGAATGATTTATAAACAACCTGCCTGTTATTATCTCCATTTCCCCCTGGCATAATTGCAGCTAAGTAGCAGGCCAGAGGAGTTAAGCCGTAAGTTAAGGGAAAGAACCAGGAGAGGAGCCCTCACCAGCCCCCTAACCCCTGGCTTTGTCCGGTTCCAGTGCCTCCCAAGTATCCTCTGTTATGCATGATTGGAGCCCATTTCTCTGGACAGTGGGGACAGAAGTTGGGGGGTTAGCTGTCAGATCACAGAAGGTTCTACCTTTATAGGGAGCTTGAGTCTGTTAAGTACATACACTATATATATGTAAGAAGAAGAAAAAATACTAAAGTATCTGATTAGCCCTGCATCCAGGAAACTTCCGTCTTGCCCAGATGTGAGAACATAATCAACAGAATTTCCATGGTCTCTTCCACTCCTCCATCCAATGAGCCACTTTCCTCCCTTTGAAGAAGAAGCCTCTTTGGTTATTCTTATTGACTGTCCATCACCGCTATTAAATCCACGTTTTGTGAAGCAGAGCCTTTTCTTTTGTTCTCCTTGTTTTGATTTTTGTTTCTGTGTTTCAGAAATGACAGGGCTGTGACAGGGAGTTATTAGGGAGGGTCAATTGGGGTAATGTTTATCGTTTTTGGACAGTGTGTTCACACAACCTTTTCCACCGAACACGATAGCAAAGAAAAAAGCAGGGACTTAGGAGACAGACTAGCAGACCTCTGTTGGAATTCTGTCCAAGCTGAGTGCCCTTGAGCAAGCAATTTAAAATTCTTAGTCCTAGTTTCCTGTTCTTGAAAATGGGAATAATATCACTACCTCCAAGAGCTACTATGTGGAATGCAAATAAGGTGATGTAGGTGGAACTCAGTGGCCAATTTCATCCCTTATCCCTTTTCTTCCTGTTTTCAAGCCTGCAAACCAGGTGCAGACAGATGTGCTGAAAAAACAAAGATGCCTCACTCCCTAAAGGGTGTCCTGGAAGATATTAATCCTAAGAAGTACCCTGGAAAAAAGTCTGTTAGAGTTTGGAAAAGAATGTATATCTGAGTCCCTTTTAGAAATTCTCAATATGTATTAGAATTTTCAAGGTTCTGACAAGTCCTGCAAGAAAGAAAACTGATTGGTTTCATTAATCCAATGCTAGCCCCATCCACCTGACTGAAAGTTTTTGGTCAGTTAATCCATGTGACCAGGGAATATATATATATATTTTAAAATATGGAACGCTTCACAAATTTGCATGTCATCCTTGCACAGAGGCCATGCTAATCTTCTCTGTATCGTTCCAATTTTAGTATATGTGCTGCCAAAGAGAGCACGACCGGGGAATATTTGTCTTCAAAAGCAGAAAAAGATGGAGTTTTGAGACCACCTTGTCTTGGAGAGTCATAGTTTCTGAAGTATTCCCCATTCATTAGCCTTCTTATTCTACAAACACGCCAAGCTCCATCCTGTCCTGGCCCTTTGAACTACTTTTCACTCCGCCTAGGACTCCCCAGACTTTTGGGTGGCTGATCCCTTCATTTCATCCAGGTCCTGTTCAGAGGTCCCTCCTTCATGAGTCTTTCTGTATACACTGTCCTATTCTCCCAATGCCATCCTCTATAATTTCACCTGTTTTGATGCCTTTGCTTCATGCATCACTATCTGAAAGGGTCTCACTTATTACTGTTCTTTGACACATGTCCTCCCCCCTTTAATGCACAGACAATAAAGCCCCGTTTTGTCCCCTCCCTCACTGTATCTCTGTTGTTTAGTACAGTATCTTCCTGTCTGCCAGTCAGGAAGCCCCCCCAGTGAAGGTATGTTGAATAGAGGAATGGGTGGATGACATTCCACCCATTGACAATCTTAAGCGATGAATCATTTTATTACTTCCACTTTATAGATGGGGGAACTGAGGCTCAGGGTGTTATATAAATATCCACCATCAAAGAACCGATATTAATAAATGGCAGAGCTGGGGCTGGATCCCTGATTCTCATGACTGAGAAGTCCTGTGCTCTTTCCATTCTAGGAAATGAAACATTTCAGATGTTCATTTTCCCATAAAGAAGAACTTTAATGTGCACAGAACAATGGGGGGGGGGATTCTGTTTTCATCTTACTGGCCCTACAACTTAGAAGAAAGCTGCCTTTCCCTCCAGGTCCTCATAGGACGAGCCCCGTACCTCCTGAGAGTGCAGAGCAAGAATATGCCCGAACCTAAGGCACAGGTCAGAAGAACAGCTTGGGAGCTGGTAGCTTACAGAGTCAATCTATTTAAATTGGAACCATGTGGCTCCTTCCCCAGTGCTTACACAACGTGAACAGATGCATTGTTTGGTGTCAAAGCCCTTGCATTGACTCCACAGTTACAGCCCCTTCGAGGTCTCCACATGGTGCAGAGCTGGGGCAGAAATAAGAGGAAGGGCGGAGAATCAGAGCTTCTCAGGAGGGTTCCTTAACACTCTCGCCCTGCATTTCAGAAGGGGGGGATGCAGAGATTGCAAAGCCCACATCCGTGAGTGTCCGAGACCTAAATTAAATGCTTGCTCTTTTCTGAGTTTTTTTTTTTTAAGTAGATCTATTTGTTCACTTTTGTATATTTTCATTCCTCGCCCTCCCCCGCTTTATACCTCATGATTACTTTTGAGCAAGAGGCAAAGGATGGGCACATGTCCTTGTAAAACCCTCCTTGGGGTCTTTAGAAACTGACACCAAGAAAAGATTGGCAAGTTTTTCTGAAGCTGCTTTGGCCAAAATTACTCTCTGTGTCCCAGATAAAAACAGGAAAATAGAAGCCTTGAGATTATGGACTTAAATCCAGCCATCTGTACAGGTGTTGGTGTAGACACAGCCAGAGACGGAGAAGTCAGAGAAAATCGTCCCCTAGAAACTCCAGTGTTAGGAGTCAACATCTGTGAAGTATGTAAGAGCTACTGCAAGGCACTGCCACCCTTTGTTTCTTGCTATTCAGGAAATATTTGCTGTACCAGCCGGTGGTACTGGCAGTGCTTCCCATACCAGGATGAAACAGTCCTTGTCTCTGCCCTCAAGGACGTTCTAGTCCAGGAGTGTGAGGCAAGTTTAACCACAAGGATTTGGGAGGCACACATCTGGAGGGGCACTCAATTCAATCTCACTGGTCCCCCATTTTCCCAGCTGTAAAACGAATAACACTTAGCTCATAGGGTTGTTGTGGGGATGGAGTGAGCTCATGTATATAAGCAGCCACTGAGCGGTCACTAATGTTACTAAGTGCTTGCGTAACTGGAACACAAAGGGCGTGATCATCCAAGCACGGGGATTTTACGTTCTTTTTGTTTGCATTCTTGAGGATTAGCACGCAATCCAGTATGTGGTGGGCACTGAAGACCTGTGTTTTCAACACAACAAGCAGGAGGATACGGCATTAGGGAAAGGAGGGTGGAATGCCCGGGAGGGAGCTCACCTGTAGAAATTTGCATGGAGCATTGACTTAAAGAATGGGTGGGATTCAGACTAGCATGAAAGTAGGAGGGGACAGTTGCAACTGTAAGGTGTGGTCTCTGTAAGCAAAATGTAAGGTGTGGTCTCTGTACAACTTACCTAACAATTCATAAGTCACTAATGTTTATAAAGGACTTCTACAGCTAGCCCCTGTGTGGAGTCTATATGCTTGGCCAAATTTGAAAGTACCCTGAAGCTCAGAGAGGTGATGCACCTTACCAAAGTCACACAGCTTCTAGGTAATAGAGCTCAAGTGTATTCACAATGTCTACTCTCATTTACTGAGAGCTTAGTATCTGCCAGGATTTCTGCTCTGTGCTTTTTCTAAATTAGCTGATTTGATTCTCACAGTGACCCTGGGTCATGACTCTTATAAATACAGAGAGACTTTTACTCCACCTAGTGCCTAGCAGACAGGAAACTCAATAAAGTCTCACTGTAATCATAATGGGCCCCTTGTCCCCAGTGGAAAAGCTGAGGCTCTGCAAGGTTTGGAACTTGATAACACACAGAGCTTTCAAGTGGCAGGATTTGAACCCTGGGTTGTCTGTCTTCAGGCTTGTCTTCTTAAACTTTAACCACTGCATCCAGAGTCCTGTTCACCCCAACCAGCACCCCTTTCTCCTCTCAGTCTTACACTCCTGAAATTTTGGAGAGAGAGAGACACTTAGCCTTTATCTTCTAGCTGGCGTGCAGTTGTCCTGCGTAAACGCTCCCTCCTCCTCGTTTCTTTCTTTCTTAGCTGTGTGCACTTCACGTGTGAAGCGGCTGACTGCCCCGAGCTGGCTGTGGAGAATGCATCTCTCAATTGCTCCAGCAGTGACCGCTACCATGGTGCCCAGTGCACTGTGAACTGCCAAACTGGCTACGTGCTCCAGATACAGCGGGACGATGAGCTGATCAAGACCCAGGTGTGTACAGGTGCTGAGCTCAGAGCCCCTCTCCAGCCCGGGGACGGCGTTAGTGGGCGTTGAACGTGTTCTCTGCTGAATCTCCAGCAGCTGAAAGAGTGTTGCCCTACAGTAGGTGCTCAATAAATAGGAACTGACTAAATGAGTGAGAACAATGAAACAATCACCCAACCAATCAATGAGGAATTTGTGAGAGAAGGGTTTGTGTGCAGCGTGGAATTCTATACAACACTCACCAGTGTTTCTGTGTAGGCTGCAAATCTGCAAAACCATGGGCTGAGTATGTCCGGGGGCAGTTTTTGAAAGAGGTGAGTGTCTGTCAATAAGGTGTTCACTCCTTCACTAATTCCCTGCTAAGGATCTGTTCCCTGTAAATCAGATGCTATTTGAGGCATTAAAGAAAAGGGAGTCATTAACATAAACCTAGGCCGTCCTTGGAAGGAGCTTAGTGCCCAGTGGGGCAGGGAGAGCCAATGAACGAATGAAGGAAGGACGACTGCACAGTGCAAAGCACATTATAAAGGGAAGGGTAGGCTTGGGGGAAGCACAGAGAGATTCAAGCACGGCACCCTGGAAGAAGTGACATAAAATAGGATGTGTACTGGGCAGAAGAAAGAAACGTAATGCACTGGGCACAGACAAGGACCATGTGCAGAAGGCCACTGGGGAGAAAGAATATGCCACGGGTAGAAGTGTTTTTCTTTTCCTAAACTCAGCCAGGCAATGAGGCTGGAGGGACAAGCAGAGTCCACGGATGCAGGGCCCTGTCCGCTTAGCCAGAAGTGTGGGGTTTATCTTTAGGGCAGCAGGGTCCTTTTGAAGGAAGTGACCTGCTCGGATCGTGGTTAGCAAAGAATCTCTGGGCTGTCCACATGGGTGTGACTTGGAGTCTGGAAAAACTAGAAGCAGGGAGACTCCCCTCACCCCCCAGGATGTCATCAGAGGCACTCATAGCAGGTGGATGTGTCTTGATAGTTGGTGGTTTGGAGAAGAAAGCTGCTTCAGCCAGGTGCTGCTGTGGTGTCTCAGGAGGGGCATAGAGGAGTGGGTTGACAAGCTGGCGGTTGGAAGTCTTTTCAGTCTTGAGACGTGTGGCCCCCAGCCCTGCTGCTAGACGCAGTTTCCTCCAGGGCCGGCTGGCGGGCTTGCCTTCACCCTGCAGGTACACAGGAACTGTCCTGATGCTAGGAGTGCCTGTTTGTGCAGAGCGTCTGTGCTCATCCTAGACACTTACAAACTCCGTGTGTCAGGCATGGCAGGTCTGAACTCCTGTAGAAATAATTGGACTGTTTCAACAATTAGAGTGAGGGACCTCTCTCTTAAACACGCATCCCTTTGATGTGTGCTTAAGAAGGGAAAACGTCCTTTGCTTTTAAAACCCTGGATCAACATTTGGCATCCCGGTACCCTGGGATTTGGCAGCTTCCTCCTTGAACGGAAGCCTCCGGGCTGCCGATGGCCGTCCTCCCTTGGCGCTGAAGCCTGGCCTCGCCCTTCCACCTACGCAGCCTCACCATCCCCCAGTTTGGTTCAAATCTCTGTCAACTGTTTCATCTTTCCCAGACCTGTTCCTTCCTCATGTCCTCTTCTCTTGGCTATTGATACATCAAATCTCAGAACAGGGAGTGGCTCTTCCAGCAATCCTTGGGCTCAATCCATCCGTTTTGTCAATGGGAGACCTCAAGTAAGGAAAGGGACTTTCCTGGTCTCCTATCATGGAGGACAAACATCTAGGTCTCCTGTATCCCAAATCCGTACCTGCTGTGTGCCAAGCACTATAGTAGGCCCTGGCAACCTCCTCCAGAGCCAGGAAAAGAAACAAAGATCAGGACCTGGTGTCCTACCATTACGCCACGTTTCAGAGTCTGTTGGAAAGACATCATTATGCCCTGTGAAGTCTCAGTCTCCAAGATTCTCATCAGCAAAATGGAAATCAAGATCTAGGAGACTGTGTAGATACACATAGCAGCTAAGAGAGTTACAGTTACAGTTACAGAAACCTTTGAGTTACAGTTCCACTTATATTCTTTCCAGCTGGGTAACTTGGGGCTGATCACATAATGCCTCCAAGTTTCAACTTCTGCATCTTTATATGGGAACTGAAATGCAGCAGAACCTCCCTACATTGACCACCTCCTTCATTAACTAATTCTCTCGGACTGGATGTGGACCACACATATGTGTCAGTACAGTAGGCCCAGTTCCTTATGTTGACCAGTTTGTTAGAGTCCCTCGGGTGGCCAACTTACAAAGGCTTTTCTCATTCAAGAAGTTGTTGAGATCATCACAACTGAGCCCAAGTGAAACTGTTGGTCTCCGGGTGCCTGGACATGGCTCTGAACTGACACCTGGGCAGGAGGGTGTTTCTCCACCTCTGGGGCTTGGTCTGTCATCCTCACTGTGCCTGTTTCTGCCTTTCAGACGGGACCCAGTGTCACAGTGACCTGCACTGAGGGCAAGTGGAACAAGCAGGTGGTGTGTGAGCCAGTGGACTGTGGCGTCCCGGACCACCACCACGTCTACGCTGCATCCTTCTCCTGCCCCAAGGGCACTACGTTTGGCCGCACATGTTCCTTCCAGTGCCGTCACCCTGCACAGCTAAAAGGTATCTCGAGCCCCTTGCTCTAGGGTGCCACCAGGGGACCTCAGCTTGGCCCTGCCTTTGTCTGTGAGAATCCTGGAGGCTGTTTCCACACCTGTGATCTGGGTCTCCTGTGCCCAGGGTTGGATCAGATTTGATCTGTGCTCCTGATTTCTGTTTTTGTTTGTTTGTTTGTTTGTTTTTAGAGACAGAGTCTCACTTTATTGACCTTGGTACAGCACGCTGTGGAGTCACAGCTCACAGCAACCTCCAACTCCTGGGCTTAGGCGATTCTCCTGCCTCAGCCTCCCAAGTAGCTGGGACTACAGGCACCCGCCACAACACCTGGCTATTTTTTTGTTGCAGTTTGGCCAGAGCTGGGTTTGAACCTGCCACCCTCTGTATATGGGGCCAGCGCCCTACTCACTGAGCCACAGGCGCCGCCCTGTGCTCCTGATTTCTTTCTACCAATTGTATTTATACAAACTGCCCTAGTATGCAGTTAGAAAAAAATGAAGTGTAGACAAGTATGACAGTGGAACCTCCTCCAAGATCTTGCCAGTATTGCAGAAAAGAAAAGAAAGGGAGAAGAAAAGAAAGAGAGAGGAAAAGAGAATTTCATTTGGGGCTGATGCACCTAGTTCTCTGTGCATGATTCCCACTCAGGACGCCTGCAGGGGTGGGGACGGTTGCTATTCTCATTTCACAGAAGAAGAAATCAAGCCTCAGAGAGTTTCAAGGAACTTGCCCAAGGTCCCGCTATTAGTAGTGGGGACCACACTGGAGCCCAGATGTATCTTTTTCCAATACTGACTGCTGCTTTTTAAGAGTAGCTGGCTGGGCCGAGAGGAGGAGGTGGGGACAAGAAGCATCTGGCATCCTCCTGAGGTAGGCACCAGGGCTACTGAGGCGGGTAAGAGAGAGTCTATCACGCTAGAAAGGAGGCCAACTTTTGCAAACAATTGAGTGTCTAGCCTGAGTGTTCTAGAATATTAAGACTGGAAGGTACCTTCGAGCTCATCAAGAATATCTGAGTTCTTGGAAATATGGAGAAACTAAAGGCCAGCAAGAGAAAGGGAGGAACTTGTAGAAAATCACGGAGCAAATATGCAGCAAGTTCAGGACCAAAGCTCTTGGCTTTTAGTTCAGTGTTGGATTTTGACATCATACCCAATTTTCAGAGGTGCCAGGACACCTTCCTCCACGACGTTTATCAGAGGAAACATTGCTCATTTATCAAATATCTAAAACAGTGTTTTACTTGAGTGTGGGATCTCACTTTGGGTCCATCTTTCTATAGAGTGTGCATTACTAGGCTCTTATGGGGTATAGGGAACCTGGAGGGAGGTCTTTGAATTCCCTTAAACTTAGATGTAATATGGTACTTGCGTGAGATTTAGGCATTTTGATAACTGGAGAGAATCAATAGCTTTCACCAAATTTTAAGGGATTGCATGACTCCAAAAGATTAGGAAGCCCATATGGACTTGAGTCACTTGAGGATGGTGGCTGTGTCTAATCTATATGCATGTTGCTGTCAGTGAAGCCAGGACAGGGCACTTAGTAAGACTCGAGAAAATGTATTGATTAGATGGCTGGATGAATTGATCAAAGAGAGAAACGCCACAAGAATTGTTCTTCTGACATGAGAATAAAACACTCAGGAATCTCACTAAACTGTTCCCCCTAAAAAGGCAGAAATCAATTCTAGTATGCATACTTTAGCTCTCCTCATTTTTAACTCAAGATTTGGATTTTAAAAAGTTATAGACATTTCATTTAAGACAGTAAAGAGGAGCGGCACCTGTGGCTCAGTGAGTAGGGTGCCAGCCCCATATACCAAGGGTCACAGGTTCAAACCCGGTCCCAGCTAAACTGCAACAAAAATATAGCTGGGCGTTGTGGTGGGCGCCTGTAGTCCCAGCTACTCAGGAGGCTGAGGCAAGAGAATTGCCTAAGCCCCAGCGCTGGAGGTTTGACACCATGGCCTTCTACCGAGGGCACCAAAGTGAGACTCTATCTCTAAAAAAAAGAAAGATAAAAAGAGAGGTGAAGAGACTGTGGAAATTGCAAACCAACTTTCAGGCCACCCAAGCCTATGCCCTGGCCCCATTTGCCCAGGTGTAGAATGTATTAATAACTCCAGACTAGAAAATCACACTTCTTTCAATCAGAGGCCCTTGGGAAAGAGAGGTGTATAAATTAGCATTGATTATCACAGGCTCATGTGGCTAATAATCATCCTTAATCAAAGTGATGTAGACCCTTCGGGGTGCTGACTGTGGTTGGGGGCAGGGTGCTCTGCTGTGGACACACGGCCCCAGAAGGACCGTCATTTTGATAGTTGGTGATTGCACCGTTACTCCCTCCTTGACAGCACAGGGGACTGTCTCTCTAGTCGCCATACTGACCCACTAGAACCCACTGCCCGTTCATGCAATGTAGCTGTCAGCATCATCTGGTGCTCAAATTCCTGCTCTGTGGCTTCCACCAGGATTCACTAGCAGCAAGGACTGGGGGAAGGTCCTGCAGCCTCTCTCTTGAGCTTGGTAATGCCACTTTACTCGCGTCCCCTCCCAAGCCAGAGCACAAAGAAGTGATCAAAACAACTCCTCCTCCCCCTCCTTTTTTTTATTTTTTGCTTCTCTTTCCCCTTTCCCACCCTTTGTCTTTTCTTTTCCCCACAGTAATGGTGTAAGCAAAAAAAGAGAGCTATAACCATAGATTCAGAAGTACCAGGGGTCCACTCCTGTCCCTCCCAACTGATTGATCTTAGGTGAACAATTTTACATCTGTGAGTCTCAATGTCCTCATTCGTTAAATAGGCTTCAGTGTACTTTGTCTAAAGGTCAAGTTGAGGATTAAAAGAGATGATATGTATAACATATCAGAGCTGGAGAAGGTGTTTAGTAAATACTCATTTTCCCCAAGAGAGCAGTGGCTGATCTCTCAGTCCCTGACCTCTTTGTCCCGTGGAGTCCTTGGGACTTGGCACTGTGGAGACTTGTTCTGTTCTCCGTGCTCAGCACCCAGGGTGGTGTTTTCAGGAGAGCCATCCCCAGCCAGAGCAGTCAGTGGAGGACCGTCCCTAGAAGCCTGGTCTAACCTAAACAGCACCACAAACCCACTTGCTGCTTAGATTCTGGGTGAATTTTTCTTGCATATCTTTTCTATCACTGAAATTCCAACCCTCCTTCCAGATTTATACAAACCATCTCAAGAATTTGCAACCTGACTATCACTTCTGTTGGGATTCTTTATCAAATGAGCCATGTAAACTTCAGGCAGAATCTACAAAAATGCATGAAGGGAAAACTATTCTCAAATTAAAGAAAAAAAAGATTACTTCAATATCAAAATTATCCATGCTTAGTTAAGTGGCTGGAAATGCAGTTACTTCACATCTCCCCTAATAACCCCCAACTCACCCGTGTGGGGGGCATTTAATATTTATTACCGAGTGGAGTTTATCAAGTGAGTGTGCCCCCAATCTAACAACGATCTTTATATATATATAGAGAGAGAGAGAGAGAGACAGAGTCTCACTCCGTTGCTCCAGGCTAGAGTGCCCTGGCATTATTGTGGCTCACAGCAACCTCCAATCCCTGGGTTCAAGTGGTCCTCTTGCCTCAGCTTCCAGAGTAGCTGGGACTATAGGCACCCCACCTCCTGCCCCCATGCTCAGCTAGTCTTTTTCTGTTTTTGGTAAAGACAGGGTGTTGCTCTTACTGGGGCTGGTCTTGAACTCTCGCAAGCAATCCACTCACCTCGGCCTCCCAGCATGCTAGGATTACAGGCATGAGCCACCCCACCTGGCCTGCACAGATCTTTAAAAGGCCCGCTTTTTACTTCAAGCTCTTTTTGTGACCTTTTTCTATCTCAGCGGTGCATGTTTTACCTCAGATATAAAGCCCAACCTATTAGCTAGTTTCCACTAGATACTCAATCCCAGAGAACATACTCTGATGTCTTAGCAGGAGAGCTGGGTAGATGCAGAGAGTAGCCATGTACCACAGTACCCAGCATTTAACCCTCCTGCATGCACTGGGGACGAGTCTACTCACTTGTGTCTGTCCCCACCGCTATGGCAGGTGTCCCACAACCCAGCCTTCTTTCTTCCTCTTCTTGGGAGAGTTCTCCATCAATTCTTCCAGAAAATGACTGTGCCTTATTAGTGTATAACATTCGGAATGATGGATGGGGCCCCTTGGTAAAGAAATTTGGAAGGGAGTGATACCATTCTGGATAGCGGGGAGGCAGGAGGGGTGGTGAAATCTTATTCTTGGCTAGGCCTTCGTTTCAGGGTACTCTGCTGGTCTAAATTCCTAAGTCTGCGATTTTTGTCTGACAGCAGTTCTCCTTTCATGGCCATGCTCATGGGTAAAATCTCCATACTGAGGTCAAGGGATCAGCTCAAGGTCAGGCAGACCTGGACATGGAGCAACGAGTTAGACCCTCACAGGGTCTCAGTTTTATTCTGTTTTGTTTTCTCAGCCTCCTGAGTAGCTGGGACTAGAGGCACCTGCCACAACGCCAGGCTAGTTTTTTTATTTTTTAGTAGAGACAGGGTCTCGCTTTGCTCAGGCTGGTCTTGAACTCCCAATCTCAAAGGATCCTCCCACCTCAATTTCCCCGAGTGTTAGATGACAGGCGTGAGGAACCATGAGCCCTGGGTCTCAGCTTCTTAAGTCTATAAAATGGGGTTTATGATGAACTGGGTGACAAGGAGAATCAAAGAGATGGCTTTCATAATTCTTCCTAGGTCTGCCCCCTGGATTCAATTATAGACAGCCATTGCTAGAATGCTTTTCAGACATTTAGGAAAAAAAATGACAATTAAACAATCAAAAGGCAGCCTGATCCACCAAGGCTAAAGCTATGACAGCCCAATTTTACTGAGCAGTCGACATACTTTCTGGGACAGCTAACACCCAGTCAGTTGTGCTTTTTAACTCCCTGGGATTTTGGGAGCCTATAATGTGCTTTCAAAGCTAACATCAGCAGAGCACTGCATCCTTCTCTGGGTACCTGCATTTCTGCCTCAACTTCTTCCGGGCTCTCTCCATCCCCAGTGCTGCATGAAACTCAATGGACTATTTTTGAGAAAAGTTTTAAAAGCCTGAAATCCTTTCTGCCTCTGTTTTCTGCCCCAGCCGACCCTCTCTTCCATGTGTGCCCCTTGTCCTTCTTAATCTATCTTCTTTGCCTGTAACTTTTCTTCAGGTCTGTTCCTTACCACAAGCAATAAGGTCTAATTTCCTTGCAGTCCACTCAGACCGACCCTTGCCTGTGCAGCCTGTTGACGGCTTGCCTGTCCTGATTCTGCTCCAGCTAGCTGCATTTTTGTTTTCTCCAACACTAGAGTAGCCAATATTCGTTCACATCCTAAAATGGTAGAGTTGGACAAGAACTCAGAGATAGTTTTGGTTTAGAATCAAACAGGCTACGGGACTTGTTCAAGGTCACAGATGAATTCTTTAGGCATACAACAAGTAGATATTGAGGACGCAGTATGTGCCTGACAACAGGCTAGGTTTGAGAATAAAGAATGAACAAGATGCAGTCCTTGCCTTCTGGGCCAGGCGATGCCAGCACCACGTGGCAAGTGCGGAAAAAAAACCCAGACTGAAGGTCTGACATTTCCCTCCTTGGGCGCTGCTCTGCGTTAATTAAAGGCACTCTCAAAGAGACTTGGTCTCCTGGGTAATCTTTTAAATGAAACATACAGGGTGGCCATAAAGTTTGTGTGCAATTTGAAATTGCCCACTATTTAAAAATGTACACTAGTTATTTTAAATTGCACACGAACTTTGTGGCCACCCTGTATATTACCCGTTTACAATTTTTTAAATGCTCACTAGATATTGACATTTCCTTTCCACATTTGTAGACAGGCTGAGCAAGATTTATTTTTCTGACTTTACACGATGAACAAATGAAGGCACAGGGTCCCCAAAGTTGTAGGAACCTAATCTGTGATATTGACCTTCTTATCCTCCTATGGGGAACGCTAGGCTCAGATGTGCCTTCACTTTCTGTGTTGAGTCGTGTTCCCCTAGGAAACACGGATAGAGGAATGAGGATGGGAGACATGGAACTGGCAAGTGTCTGTCACCACTGTGGGCAGCTACAGCTCAGTCCCTCTGGGGGACTCTGGGAGACGTGCAGAACATGCCTCAGAGTTATTGCACCTGTGGAAACTGGCAGGTGGCTACACCAACCCCATCACTGGTGGACAGGGACATGAACGCTCAGTACATCAAGTTTGTCCTGCGTGCGGGCACAGCATGCATCCACTGTCAGAAGAAAAATCCTGAGGCAGAGAGTTGACAGCACAGTAAGCCTCCTCCAGAGAGCAAAGGTCAATGCCAGGAAGATGAGGGAAGGGCGCAGAGGGGAGTGCCCTCCAGCACTTGGCTCAGAACCACACGGTGCACGAGGGTAGCAGTTACAGCTGGTGCGTGGCGGGATGGATTCTGCACAGCTCGGTGTCTGCACCTCCTGGTACTATCGCTGGGGCCGGTGGGGGGACATATCCATGGTGCTGAATCACCAGTTCCTGCCTGAACTGTGGCACGCTGCTAACTGCTGTTTACCCTCTCCCAGAATGTACATTTCTGATTTATATTTTCACTCTTGATTAACATTTTGCAATTTTTCTGTCGTCTTGCCATAGAAAAACCATGACTTCCCCTTACAATTTACAATTTGCATGGCAGGTATAATGTACATTTTAGGAATCCAAACATTTTCTCCACAGATATTTTTATCCCTCTTGGGCAACTTGGAGAAGGTGAGCTTCCTGTACCTTTTAACCCTCCCCCCCACTAAGCCTGTGCCATGCTGGGACACCCCGGAGCAATACCTTTCCCAATCATAAGAGCAGTGAAAAAGGGAGCTTGTTGTCCCTTTTTCCAGGGCACCCCTTTCCAGGTGCCCTGGAAGCTTCTCTGCTTCTGAGGAAGCCAAATGAGCCCCTCTCTGCACCGTTTCCTCTCTCTACTTGATGTGAAAATGTCTACAGTTGTCAGTGTCCCATTTATCAAGGTGGATCCACTGTGGCTTTTCCAGACTTCACATTGCCTTGCACTGGCCAGATGAATCCCATGGACAGGAGGAAAAAAAAAAAAAGAAAAGGGAGCAGTGCCTGTGGCTCAAAGGAGTAGGACTCTGGCCCCATATGTCGGAAGTGGCAGGTTCAAACCCAGCCCTGGCCAAAAACTGCAAAAAAAAAAGAAAGAAAGAAAAGAAAAGGACTAGGGATGGGAGAAGCCTCCGCAACGTTGCAAAGTTCTCTCTCCCCTTTCTCCCTGTCCCTGCTTCATTCTTCTTCATAGATTGTACCACCTTCTAGCACCCTCGGTAGTTTACCTTTTAGTAAATTGTTTTGCTATGCTCCTTCCAATCCCATTAGATTATGAGCTCCAAGAGGGTAGGGTTGTTTTTGGTTAGTTTTATTTTGTTTTGTTCACTACTTTGCCCCCAACATGTAAAAGCATCTGTCCCATAGTACCCACTAAAGAAAGAGATGGCCGCTGAATGAATGACGCTTTGGTGCAGCTCACACGATCCTTTCAGATCTGCTAGTGAGAGTCAGTGGTTAGAAGATGGAGAGGGGAGAAGTGAGGAAAAAAAGAGGGGAAAAGTGAGGAAAAAAAGAAGGGAGGAGGCTGGGCTCAGTGGCTCATGCCTAGAATCCTATCGCTCTGAGAGGCCGAGGCAGATGGGTTGTTTGAGCTCAGGAGTTCGAGACCAACCTAAGCCAAAGTGAGACCCTGTCTCTTGGAACTTGAAGCAGGCGACTGTGGTCCCAGCTACTCAGGAGGCTGAGAAAAGTGGATCTCTTGAGCCCAACAATTTGAGGTTGCTGTGAGCTATGACACCACAGCACTAAACACCTAAGGTGACAAACAGAGACTTTGTCTTAAAAAAAAAAAAGAAAGAAAAGAAAAGAAGCAAATGACATTGACAGCACTTTTATGGACACTTTTCTCATGAATATTTTTTTCAAAGCATTTTCCTAATAGCTCAAAAAGCAGGAACATTTTTTTCTACAGATAGGAAAATTAAGGTTCAACTCTCCCAGAATGGATAATAAGGGTTCTGCTAAGAGTATATAAGGAGCTTCCTATTAGACACAACCATCTCTACAGTCGGACACAGTTGGTCTTGAGCCTCAGTTTTGCCTTTTGCTAATTCTAAGAGCCTGGTAAGAGCACTTCAGTCTCTGGTCTTCATTCCCAAGTGAGAATTGTCATGCTAAGTGCACGGTTTGTTAGAACAAACGAAATGGCCTATCAGAAGCACTCCATGTGTAGTAACTGCTCAATAAATGTCAGTTGCCTTCCTGTCACCTCACTTCTCCAACTGTCAGATGATCCCTGAGCCTCCCACGTGCTTCCGGCACTGGCTGTCAGCACCATCCCGTAATGACTGGGCAGGGGAGAGTTTAGGGGAGAATCCCATGTTTCCTGTCCTCCTCTAATCATCCTGGGGACGTCTGGGGCAGGCTGTGCATCGGTAATGTATGAGCTGGCAGTGGAAAAGCCTAACTCCCATGTTTTACTTTGATTTGCAATGTTCCCCGTCGGGTCAGCTCCCCAGTGGCAGTCAGCACTCTGTCAGAGCCAGCCCAGGCTGCCGGGGAAGTGCTGGTCTCCAGCTGCTTTGGCAAAGCCTCACTGAGCACAGGGGGCGAGACAGAGGATCAGACCTCCTGATAACATGATGCTGTCACTTCCAGGCACACGGTGTGGGGGCGTAGGACGGGGGAACTGCAGCTTGAGGTCACGTGGCATGCTGATATGAGAGCTTGAAGTAGGTTCTGGTACGAGCTTATGTTGTCAATAGTTAGAAGACAGGTACCTTCACCTCTGGGCTCAGGTGCCCACCTGGAAAGCAAAGAGGATGGATTCTCAGGGTTGTGAAAGTCTCCCTTCTGTGCGCCAGAAGACGTTCAGGATCAGAAATCAGAAGCCTTGAATTTGAATTCAATGCAGATACAGGGGTAATTCAGTCTCCCAGTTGAGGTCCCATCTTCATTTTGTCAGCTGTCTTAATTGCCCCAGGCTCCTCAGTTGCAAGTGGAGGGGGTTGGAATTCCACACAAACGGTCCTCTGATTCTTCAGGTCACCTGAAGTCCTGGCAGCCTATATATCCGGACAGCTGTCAGAGCCTCCTCCCTCTGCTAACCCTGCTGCCTGTATTCCCCAGGCAACAACAGCCAGCTCACCTGCATGGAAGATGGACTGTGGTCCTTCCCGGAGGCCCTCTGTGAGCTCATGTGCCTCGCTCCACCTCCTGTGCCCAACGCCGACCTGCAGACTGCCCGGTGCCGAGAGAACAAGCACAAGGTGGGCTCCTTCTGCAAGTACAAGTGCAAACCTGGGTACCACGTGCCTGGATCCTCCCGGAAGTCAAAGAAGTAAGTGGTGTGAGAAACGCAGGCTCGTGGGGTCTGGTCTCTGCTGGAGGCAATGCCCTCTGTTTATCCCATTCTGTTCTGTGAAAATCCAGAAAGATATTGTTAATACCATTATGTGTGGGTTGAAGAGAACTAACTTTAGACTTCAGCTTGGCTGCTACTGGCTGTGTGATCCCAGGCAAATGACTTCACTTCTCTGGTCTTCCACTTTTCAGCAATAACCTGGATATGATAATAATAATGACCACATAGGGTTGTTGTATAGAATAAATGAGGATGTGCATGGAAATCAAAGTGCCTTGTGCGTAGTATCAGTCCTATAAATGACGGGTGTTAATAGCATCATTGTGCCAGCCTCCATCAGAGATAGCACTTTGAAGGAAGGAAGAGATTAGGGGCTGGAAGGGCATGAATTTATCTCAATTCACACATAACTGATAGAAAGCCTGATGTTTCTGCCTGCTCTTTCTGAAGGAGTTCTGGGAATAAATTCTTAATCCCTACATAGTGCCCCCCCCCCAAAAGAACAAGTAAGTAATCGAGAATAGGAAGTGCCAGTGCTGGGCTGGCTGGTGTTATTTGGGAAGGGTGTGGGTCTAGGAGTGTGGTCCTCAAGATGTCTCCTCTTCCATCTCTGCCTTGAAGACGGGCCTTCAAGACTCAGTGTACCCAAGACGGCAGCTGGCAGGAGGGGGCGTGTATTCCTGTGACCTGTGACCCACCTCCACCCAAATTCCACGGGCTCTACCAGTGCACGAATGGCTTCCAGTTCAACAGCGAGTGCAGGATCAAGTGTGAAGACAGTGACGCCTCCCAGGTAAGCTGCCTGGGACTTGAGATCGACACTGCAGTCTTTTTCCTCTCTGTTTACCAAAGGCCAGCTTAGTCTTTTTTTTTTTTTTTTAATTTCAGATTAATTTTAGGGTACAAACAATTAGGTTACTTTGTTTATATTTTTTAGGTAAAGTTCAGATTGTAGTGAATCGTTTCACCATAGGGTGTGCTGTGGACCCTTCCACTGTGCCCATTAGGTGAGGGCTTCCTATCCCACCCTCCTTCTCCACTGGAATTGTGTTTTTCTTTCCCATGGGCATGTAGTTTACCTACTGTTCTCGTATTAGTATTGAGCACGTCGGATACTTGCTTTCCCTTTTTTGTGATCCTTTCCTAAGAAGAATATTTCTCAACTCCATCCAGGTAAATGCAAAAGATAGGAGGTCGCCATCTTTTTATGGCTGAATAGTATTCCATGGTGTACATATACTGTAGTTCATTAATCCAGTCACATGTTGATAGTTACATGGGTTGATTCCACATCTTGGAAATTGCGTACTGAGCTGCTATTTTGCCTATTCTTTAAGAACAAGGAGACTCTCTAAGTAGGCCCGAAAGGTACAAGGGCATTTATCACCAGTGCAGACATTAAGAAACTGGGCTCTATCTTCCTTGGTAATCTTTCTGAGTCTCATTCTTCTCCCTACAACACTGTATTTTATTTGTTCAGAGATCCTTAGCTTAGCTTTGATACTTTTAATTTTAGCATTGGAATCCTTACATGTGATTGTACGTGATCGTCCCAATGTATAACGCTGAATAAAGTTAAGTTACTCTGATAACATAAGACTGACTAAGGCTCCTTTGCCAGTTTTTTGCCACCATCACTGCCTGTGTTGGTCCTTGAAGTACTGAAAATTATAGGACTACCACTATCTTTAGACATCTGTTGGTTCCTGAAGCATGAAGAAGAAAGGGGACCACATTTAGATGAGAAGTAGATTTTTAAGGAATCTATAGAAGAAAGAGGGGTCAGAGGAGTGGGTAGGGTGTGAATTTTATCTCAATCCACATATAACTGAGAAAGTGCAGTGCTTCTACCTGGCTCCCCTGAAGAAGTTCTGTGGATAAATTGTCCTTAATCCCTATACATGCCCCTTGCCACCAAAAAGGTAGATCAGAAATCAAGGATAGGAAAAGAGAATACGAAGCCAGCCAGCTCTAAAAACACTTTAATTCCACAAGGAGCCCCATCTTAATAGAAGCAACTGTTTCGAGTTGATAACCTGAGCCCTGTGGATCTCAGGTGTACAAGGGCCATGAGCCAGCACAGGCCAGACTTCAGTCAGCTGGGCCTCAGGGCAGGTTTCACCTTTAATAAGACTTTGTTAGTCTTCAGTATTGAGTGTTAGCCCCCAAATCCCAGGCACTGCCAACCCTCCATCCTCACATTCTCTTTCTCCCTCTCCCTGCACACAAGTGATCACCACATCCTACCTAGTCCCCCGCCAGAATGTCTCCTGAAGCTGTTGTCCTTTATACTCGACTCTGTCGCCCTAACTCAGGCCACCTACAGCTTCTTCATCATTTCTGAGCACCTGTCACATGCTGCTTCAGCACGTTCACATTTCAGCCAGAGCGATTCGAGTTACTGTGACACTCCCTCTGCTTAAAGCCCTTCCTGAACCAGAGACCCCCATATCCCTTAGGGAAAAAAAACTCAACTTCTTAGGGTGGCCATCAAGACCACACCCCCATCACCCGTAGGACTATCTCCCCTCTCACCTCTGCATCCCCCACCCGAAACATCTCTCCTCTCACCTCTTCCAGCTTCCCAACTTCTCATCATCCTTCACGTGTCATTCCAGGCATCCCTCCCCCCGCGTCCTTCCCCCGTGGGCTCACTGCCCCTCCTCGCGTCCCTCCTCCCAGCCTTGAGCACACCCCAGTTGTGATGTCTGCTCCATTTCACAGTTTCACGCTGGGCTGTGGAACCCTTCACTGCATCTTCAGGCTTCCCGGTGCCTTCAGCACTTCGGACAGGGCCAGGCACCTAGTAGGTACTCAGGAAATGCCAGGTGAACTGAGGGCATGAGGAAGAGGGGCAAGGAAACTCAAAGCCAATTTTAACACCGAGAGGTTACTCAGCCACCTAAGGTGACACAGGTGGCATCAGCTAAGTCAGAATCCAGACCTCCTCTCCCCCAAACTGTGGACAGGCTGAGTCCCCTGCCCACTGTCTGAAAATCCTTGGTCACTTATGCTGTGTCCATCCATGAAAATTATCCTCATCTTCGGCTGCCAGGGAAGCAGAAGCCGGTGCCCGAACCAGAGATTACCACTCACAGGCTGATCGGCTTCCCTCTCACTCCCTTACATAAAACTGTTGCTAACAGTTACCCAAACCACTGAGCCAAATAATATTCTGGCCATGGTCATGTTATCAAACTGAAATGCAGTCTGCCTGGGGCCTGCCAAGTAACTTTCATGGCCAGTTTGTATTTAAAGGAGAGGAAAATGTAAATTTATCAGACGACTCGAGCAGCTCTGCTTGGCAACTGGTGGAGAGGCCAGACATGAAGGGGCAGAGTATTGCTAGTCTGCTCAAAGAATGAAGGAGCGCGTGCCAAATGGGCTCCTAATACAATTGACGTTTCTAGTTTGTACTGAAAATGAATTTCCTCTACCCTCAGACCGGGAGCCTGAGAGCCAAATCTAGTATTCACCTCAGATCCCCTCTTGCTGCCTGTAAACACAGCAGAAACGTAGGGCTCAGAGCATCTTGACTCAAACAGCTTATGCGGAGCAGGGATTCTCTGCTTTCCAAACAACTTCCAGATCCTGGCAGGAAAGGAGGAAAGGATGGGGGCTATTGTAGGAAAGATTCATACACTCCCTCTTGTTGCCACTAAAAGCAAACAAAATCCCCACTTTGCTCATTCCTTGGGAGCCAGTACGATGCTGGATGTGGAGTCTGAGTTCAAATCCCAGCTTCACTGCAGTAAGCTGGAGAACCGGGAAACCTCCTTAACTCTTTAAGATTCAGTTTCCTGCTGTGTAAAATGGGTGGCTGGATACTACCTACCTGAAAATTTGTCTGTGAGGATTAAACGAGGTAATAAGAGGTAGGGTATCCCCAGGATTTGTGCAGTGCACAACCTAGGCCACCATCTGTGGCAGCCCGGGGGAAGATGGACACCAATGAACTAGGCTGCCTTAAGGCCATCCCAGTGGGGAGAATCCTTTATGCTCCGTGTGTACTCCCAGAAGATCTGGAAACAAAGACAACATAATGAAATTTAGCCCTCTGCTGGCTAGCTCTAAAAACTCAGAAGAGGGCAACCATCCTTCCTGAGGCCAAGGTGTGGATTAAGTAAACTGGTATGAGCCTTGGTCTCTTGCTTGAATAAACCTGTAGAATAAATAGTCTTCTAGTTCCTCTAGACCAATACTACCCCATAAATCTTTCTTCTATGCTGAAAATGTCCCATATCTCTGCTTGGTAATATGATGGTCACAAGCTATGAGTGACTGGAGTAATTGAAACCCAGTCCAGTGACTGACCAACGAAGTGTTAAATGTTATTTACTTATAAATAATTTGAATTTAAATGTAAAGAGCCATACTTGTACAGTGGCTACCATATCAGACTACTCAGCTCTAATATTTGCAGTATTCTTCCCTCTCTAAACCAAGACAGAGAAACTTAGTACCTTAATAACCTGTAATAACAGCTTTGTGTGTGTGTGTATGTGTGTGTGTGTGTGTGTGTGTGTTTGATGGGTGCCAAGCTGGTGTTGCAGACTTTACCTTATTTTGTCAACTCATAACAAATACTTGAAAAAGAACGATTATCCCCATTTTACAGATGTGGAGAGAAGACCTGGGAGGCTAAGTTCTTGCCCGTGGCTACAAGTCAGTAGGGGTATTCTCTGCTCTTTCCTGTTGCTCCCAAACATTTCCAGGGCAAGCTAGTGACAGAGGCCAAGTGGTAGGGAGAAGTGCTAATTGCCTCAGGATTTAACCCAGTTCAGATGCTCCTGGGCTGGTTGAGGTGACAACCCAGTTCCTTGTGAGAAGCACTGTGGGAGTTTTGCAGGTCGTTAGGGGAGAGCCCAGCCTAGGGATGGGGACAGGATCTGTGGAAGACTCACACAGTGAGGGAGGACAGAGGCTAAAGGCATTTTGTGGTCAGAGCAATGCACTCGATGGTAGATCTCAACAACTCAGCGGGAGCAAGAGAGGATGAGTGGGGGCTGGATCCACGGCATACCCAGCTCATTGCATGGATCATAGCGGGTGCCTGAAAAAGCCACAGTGCCTTGGAGCTGTCCCCTGCTGTTATGGTACATAACAGCCCACAGAAGTATGTGCCCCAGCAAGCAGGGGCAGCCTCTCATTTCAGGGTGAAGCACTTACCTACACACCCAGGACTTCCTGGGGGAAATCTGAAAAGTAACAGACCCAGCTGGTGTTAGGATTACAGAGATTTCAGGAACCCCCCCCCCAACCCACTTAGTTTACAAATGAGACCACTGAAGCCCAGGAAGAAGGGACTTACCCTGGGTCATGCAAATTGCTGGCAGAGCCAAGTATTAAACCAAGTGACTGTACAAGCTGCATTTTCTACCCATTCTTCCTGCTGGGGCTGCGTGTTAGCCCCTGATGGAAGCAATGTACACCTGAGGGCATTGATGGGGAAGAGAGGCAAAGGTTTCTCAGTGGCTGCAGCTAATTTACATGCCCTGAACTGGGCTGAGCGCTTTGCACAGATCACTTTATGTAAGCCCCATGGTATCTGATGTGACTGTCCCATTGTGCAGATGAGAAACTGAAGTTCCGTGAGGCAAGTTGGTTTGCCCCGTGTTCTGCAATGAGGGGATGTGGAGCTGAGATTGCTGCTGTCAGGTCAAGCTGCCTCCAGAGCGGAACCATCTGCCTCCTTCACTCATGGCCTGGTTCAATCTTGCTCTGATGCCACCACACTTTTCCCTGCCATTATTTTGTTTATTTTCACTTTTACAAAGAAGAAGTCATCTTAATTCTGCTATTTCCTCTTTTCCATCCCTTGTACCATAGTAAAGGCTTACAGTCAAGAGATGTGACCCTGCCATTGGCAACTTGTGGGCCTCAGACACATTGCCTCCCCTTTCTGGCTGCTGTGGTTTCCAAAGTGCACTGCTGGTCAGATTGACTCTGAAGTTTTCTGAGAGACAGTACATGCTAGTGGTTAAGGGACCTGCACATATTGGGCTTTAAGCGGCTCACAGAAGCTGACTCACATGATCCTCATGACAACTCTCTGGGGTAGTGAACTTCATGCCCACTTAGCAGTCAAGGAAACTGAGATGCAGAGGGTTAGGAAACGTCCTCTAGTCCACACAGCTGTGGCTTTGCAGAGCTGGCATTTGAACCCAGACAGTTTGACTGAAGTCCATGCTCTTAATCATTCCACTTGCATCATTCCAAAACTCATTTTTTCACTTCCCAAGACTTAGTTCGCACATCTGTAAAAAGGACATAAATTTGGTCTACTACAATGTTGAGGAATTTTAAAACACTGGGCATGTCATAGGTGTTTGATAATTGTATGTCTTCAGCTCTTTGTGGATCGGTGTACCTAAAACAGCAGGAGAGTTAGGGAAAGCATAGAATGCTTTTTTTACAGACAGATGCCTTAGCCCAGAGAGGCAAACTTTTGCTAAGGGATGGCCAGCACTCTTGTGAGAGATCTCACAACAGCATGCGGAATCGTGCATTTAGAGCCAAAGATACCCTGTCAGTTCCCTGACAACACCTGAAAAAAGTAGTCTCTATTCTTCCCCGATTGGATCCTTATCAACGTCAGATCATCTCTGGTCAAACTTGACTTGGTCAGCGAGGATCTCAGTAGTACTTTGAAAGTCGGCACCAACTGGTAGGCAGGTCCTGAGTGCACCAAGATCTAGTCCTGCAGAAGGATTTGGAGACCCAGAGAGGCTCCAAAAAGTCTGCTGTGCAGAGGGCCCAGCAGGGGCAAGGGTGTGTGTGGGGAGCGGGCAGCAGAAGAAGGTTACAGGAGAGACAAGGCTCTTCATTTAACCACTAGGAAGGATAATGTGCATAGCCAGACATGGGGCAATATCACCTAGATTTCACGGGGGAAGCCCTGGAGAGTTCCAAACTGCCAGTGTGCCTCATTCAGAAGGCTCAGGTATCATAGAAGAAAAATGTCCTATTTTTTTTAAAGCAGATTTAGCAAGAGAAAGTGTCAAGTGAACCAGAAGGCAGAGAGAGAAACCAGAGGCAGCAAGACCAATGCTATATGCCCCCACCTTTCATCCGTGCTGGGGCCTCCTCAGCCTGACACTCCCCGAGCAGATTCCAACTAGTTCGAATACATTCTCTGCTGCAGACCAGGCTCTCCAGCCAGCTCTGGCCCACGCACTGCTGAGGTCTGCAGCCCTTCAGGGGCTGGAGGCCAAATGCATCATAGGCCCAGGCCAAGGCTCCAGGAAATTGGGGTCAATTTCCTACTCCCCCGAGGGCCCAGCAGAATCATGGGACCTAGAGCCTGGGGCTCTGAGAGGGAGAGTCCGGGTTCTCTAAAGCTGCATGAAGCTGTATAAATTTGCCGTGAACCCACACAGAACCTCTGGGAGTAGACCCTGCCAGTCGCCCCTGCAGCTGTGTGCTCGGCCTGGGCCACCCTGCGTTCGAGGCCAGAGAGGTTCCCACTGCAATCACACCCTCCTCCTGCCGGCCCAGGAGAAGCCTGTAAGGGGCTTCCTTTCTCTTCCGAATCCTGTCTCTTTGCAGCTGTTTTCTCAGACGGGAGCTTCAGCCTGCAATCAGCCCCTTTTAAGAAATGTTTCATTTCCTCATGCACACACTCACCATTTATTCCCCCATTCCTTCATTTACTCACTTGTGCATTCAGTTCCTCATCCAGGCATTCATTTATTCTCTTGTTTCTTAACAAAATTCATTCCGTTGCTCTCCGTCTATTCATCTCATCTTTTGTTAAACAATTCTTGAATGGACAGAAATATCTAGTGAGTGATAAATGGGTTCATGGAACTGCCGGTACCTGTTAGGTATCGTAAAAAGGGCCCGAGGCCACTGGGCTGCACAGGGCACCAACCTGGGTCTTGAGGAGCCCATCTTGTTGGGGAACAGATGGTAAACAGAGGTGATATGGTGTCAGAGATGGTAAGGTAGTGCCCCCCGAATCAGGTCACATTAGGACAGAGATGATGTCTCCAGGTGGACAGGGATGGGGGCATGGAAAACGTGATAAACAGAAGGAACCGTGAGCACAAGAGCACAGCACCTGGGGCCTTGGAGGTGCAGGTAATGGAAGCCAAGGTTCCAGGTTGGTGGGAGTGCCTTGGAGCAGTGACCTGGGAATTAGGCAGAGTTAGTTCTGGGCCAGGGTGTGGAGCTCTGGTTGCCAAGCTCATGGACGGGAATGGAAGCTGAGGGTCATGAGGAGCATGGTGCAGGTTTTTGCACTAGTGAAGCACAGTCAGCTCCTCTAGCCTTTTTTTTTTTTTTTAATTGAATGGTAACTATGTACATTATTGCACTAAATGTACTTCTGGGGTACAATGTGGGGTTTTCACATGCAATCCGAAACACTTCCATCAAACTGGTTAACA